TTTCTAATGGCACCATTGGTTTCAAGTAATCTAGGACTATATTTACGTTCCATGTATGGGAATACTTTGGTTTTGATGGTCGTAGGGAGAATACCCCTTTCAAGAACTTTCCAATCATGGGGTCCTGGCCTAACTGATTGTCTGAGATGAGTGAGATAGCTGATCTGGCAGAATTTAAAGTCCCATATGAGGCGCCTTTATCTAAAAGTTCTGCTTAAAATTTTAAAAGATTGCTTCTATTTGTGGAGAATACTTTGATACCGTTGTTATGACAAAAAAGAGCCCAGCTCTTAAGGGTTGAACCATACTGTTTGACAGTAGCTTGCGATATTGAGGCCAGAAGAATCTTGATTGCCTCTTGAAGGGCGCCTCTCACTTTGATTCCCCGATAGTTTGGCTGCAATTATACGCAGGTGGTTTGCCTGCGGATGAGTCTTGGACCTACATGGGGATGCGAGTAAATTAATATTCGGACAAAGTATTATTTTTCTGCCGATTGTCATATCTAGGTAGAGGGGAAACCATGGCTGATTAGGCCAGTAAGGAACTACAACTATCCCTGTAGCCTTGCCGTGTTTAATTTTAAACAGGACTCTGAGCACTAATCCGAATGGGGGAAAGGCGTAAAAACTCCACTCTGACCAATTCAAGGTAAAGGCGTCTATTTGGTAAGCCCCCCGATCTGGGAACCATGATACGAATTTTTTGGATTTCGCGTTTTTCCTTGTGGTAAACAAGTCAATGTTTGGGATGCCTAAAGACCTAGTGATCTGTTTGAAGAAGATATCAGTAAGTTCCCATTCCGCGTCTTTATTAACTAGTCTTGACAACCTGTCAGCCTCTACATTGTTTGCCGACGCTATATATGACGCGAAGAGAAAAATTCTTCTTGTTTCAGCCCAGTCCCAGGTCTCTCTTGCCAAAGAACTGTATTTCTGGTAGCGTACGCCCCCCATTTTATTAAAGTATGAAATAGCTGTGGTATTATCCACTCTAAGTAGTATTTGACAGTTCGATATCTCTCCTGCTAGTGTTTGAAGTGCTAGTTTAACTGCTAGCAGTTCCTTATAGTTGATGTGGAAAGACTTCTCTTTAGTACCCCAATGTCCGTGGATACTAAAAAATTCGTTCGTGGCCTCCAGCCTGTGGAGGATGCGTCTGTGAATATCACTGTTGCGAAATCAAAAGATTTTATTTTGTTTTTTGTTTTGGGTAAATGTGACCACCACCACTTCAAGTCCAATTTTACTGCGTCTGAGATAATCATTTTACTCCCAAAATAAAAACCATTCCTTTGTAACGCTAACGTTTTTTCCCGTTCGAGGGTTTTTATGTGCACAGCCCCATATTCTACTGCTGGAGTCGCTGCCACCAGCTTCCCTATAAGTTCTGTCAACTCTTGAATTTTACACGACGTTTTATCTAAAAACTCTCCTACTAGTTTCCGCAGCTTTATTTTCTTGTCTAGAGGCAACTCTAATAAGTATTTTATTGAGTCGATAGTGAACCCCAAGAAAGTGCAAATGCGTGAGGGAGTTAAGAGGCACTTGCGCCAATTAATTAGGAAACCAAGTGATTCTAGCAAAAAAATTGTTTTTGATGTGTTGGCTCGGCAATGATCCTTGTCTCTGCTAATCATTAAAATATCGTCGAGATAAACTACCGACATAAATCCCCTCTTTCTCAAGTAGGCTACTAGTGGTTTCATCAATTTGGTAAACACGTACGAGGCTATACTCAGGCCGAAAAGCAGGCACTTAAATTGATAAACTCGATTTTCCCACGTAAATCTTAAGAACTTACGGCTGTTTTTGTGTATCGGGACTGCAAAATAGGCGTCTTCCAGATCTATCTTACACATGAATGTATCTCTAGACACTGGGCCTGTTGCTGTTCTATAGTCTTCTAATTTAAAATGTTGAGTTTTCATAAACTTATTTAGCTTCTTAAGATTTAGAATAAACCGGAATGAGCCATCGGGTTTGGGCCGTAGGAAAAAAGTGGAGATGAATTGGCCCCTTTATTCTTCTGTTAGTTCAATAGCCCCCTTCGTCAGCAATTTATCTATTTCTATCCCGATTTGTTGACTTTCCTTATCTGGTAATGAAGCTATAGGGGCCGCTAGCTGGAATACGGGACTTTTAAATCTCAGCTCAAGACCCGAGACATAACCTAATATGACCGCATCAGCCGTGATTTCCCTCCAATTTTCTACGAAATATTGCAGTCTCCCTGCTGTTTTACCTACTTTTATTGTGATTTCGGATCGACGTTCTCCTGTCTCTTCTCTTGGTATTGAGAGCCCCTGTTGAATGGTTGGTTGCGTGGTACGTTCCTGTATCCCATTCGAGGATTGAATCCTCCCCGTTGGTAGCGCTGATTTCTGCCCGCTGAGGGGGGAGGTACTTTCCCTTGCAGGCTGTTCGCGTTTCCCGGAAAACGCTGGGTGAATGGGGAACGGTTCGGTTTTGCTGCTTTGGTCAATGACTTGGCGATTCTTTCGAATTTCTGGGTTCGAAGACTTTATCGCCAAGCTTTTCCCCAAACAGCCACTTATCGGATTTTGTGTTTACTAGTAGGTTTCTAGCTTCCTTGTCTAGACCCGTAAATATAAATGCTTTGCGCGATTTATTTTGACTGGCCATCATGTCGGATAAGAGTTTTCCTGCATCGTTTAATTTCCCGATACAATCTAACCTGTCAATGCCTTCTTCGTCCGTCATCAGGCTGGTGAGCACCGCCCCCACTGCACTCAACGTACTCCCGCTGCTTGCTGTCTTTTAGCCATTGCTGCGTCCCTAATTTACTGGATTACGTTCAGGGTGGGAAAACAACAGAAAAACTGGAGGTTTTGATTTAAAATTCACTCGGGAGGGGACGTAATCTCTTCGAACAAGGCTCTTCGTATAATTACAATCAAACTTCACTTACTGGTAAGTTCGTTTGATTTTTAATCATACTTTAGTCGCCTCGTTCTTGAGATTAGTATGTTGTTCTTTAGAGCTGAGAATAAATTTTTTTTTTTTTTTTTTTTTTTCAGTTAGATATTCATAAATACTTTTATTTTATTTCTTTACAAAGTTCTTTACAAATATCTTAAAAATTTGAAGCTTTTTATTTGTATATTATTTAATCGTGAAAACTTTAGAAGCAAATTCACTCTTATCCGGTAGGGTTGGACGGTTATAAAATTTCGCGAATACTTGAGATCCATCTGACCAGCCTGCGGTCCTCCTAATTACGTCTAGATTCACGCCTGCTTTAAATGCTGCTGATGTCGAGGCATGTCTAGTGGAGTGTCCCGAGAACGTTTCTTTATCCATACCACTTTTTCCAATGACTGACTTTAGCCATCTTCTAATGGTTCGGGCTGTTGCTGGCTTATGGGGCTTTTTTATCGTAATGAAGTGGGATTTTTGGCCCTCCCTAAGATTNTTTTTTTTTTTTTTTTTTTTTTTTTTTTTTTTTTTTTTTTTTTTTTTTTTTCTTACTGTATTGATTTCGGGTGTGTGCAGTCCTTCTGGCGGGGCGTATTTGCCGAGCAGATCATCCCTCTCTTTCTTTTCTAGTCCGTTTTGGTACCAGAACTGCCATCTATCTACCATGGATGGGTGAAGGTTAATCGGCAGCGATTTGAGGGTACGCGGGTCCTCTCCTATTACCTCGAGGATTTCTTCATTGATTGGATTAGTTTCGCTTGCATTTACAGATTTGTTGTCCAAGACGCCAATGAACATGAATGGAGTACACATTAGCATGTGAACGTTAGCGAGGGCAACGAGAGAGGGAATGAACATGTATAGTGTCGGTGTGTGGCACCCGTGTAGTTGCTCAGCGCTTAGACGTTGTCTCTCTATTGTCTCTCTATTCTCAAGCGCCTCTGGGGTTAGAGTGCGCGGGCGCAACCTGTCCATGCAGGCTTACAGGCCATGTGCGGTTATTCTTAGTAAGTATGTCTCTGTATACATGCGAGACACCGCATCTAAAAAAAACGTGAATTGGGCGATTTTTTTTTTTTTTTTTTTTTTACATGAAGAGATGCCCTGTGTCTGTTTCGGCGAAAAAGAAAATGTGTCACATACCTTGGGTATGATTCTCATCTTCTTCTTTCTCGTCATTCTCCGAGTCAAAGTCCTAGTCGAAAAACTTTCCGTTGTCCTCTGACTCTTCGTCAGAGCCCGCAGCTTCCTCGGTGTCGTCCTTGGAAAATTCTCTTCCTGTTTGTAGATAAGCCATCTGGTCCAATAGCATTCTTTTCTGCTTCTCTATGGCCTTGTCTATGTCCCAGGATTTCTTCTTCCTCTTGGCTCTTGCTCATTTTGCCGAGCACGCGAGAATTGCGACGAGAAAAATACTATCTCTTTGTTGGTCCGACCTCTAGCGCACAACAAAATAGAATGAGAACATAGAGCTCACCGCACGGGATGACCAACGAGCCACCTTCCTACCTTCCCTCCTCTCTTTTTTCATCTCTAAAATTGTGACATCTAGCAGACAAAAGGAGTACTACATACTAATCTCGAGCTCGAGCTGAACGAGGCGACTGAAGTTATGAATCTCTCTTACTCTGACAGATTAACTCTATTTCTGTCCCTCGCTTTTATTGAATTTACACATATATTTATTGACTGGAAAAATGCTTTAAGTTTGGTTATGTACACGATTATTTAGGATACCTAAAGAAGACCAACTGTACGCCGCGTTACTTTGCCTCAGTAGGTCCGCTGTAGGATACCTATAGAGATCCTCACGATCAAAGGAGGTATCCTCAATAGATTTCTGTTCGGGTCGATTTTCGGGTATAAGATTTATTTTAATCTTGCCGCAAATGGCTCTGTTGAGCAACAACTTTTTATTTTCTATCCATTGGTATAAATTGCGGCTGGTTTATAAAAAAAGATCAAATGGCTCTTAAATACCAACGAAACTCTTTACCAGAATGAACTTATGACAGAAATATTTTAGATCTCTACGAATCACGTGGGTCCTCAATTCTGGTGAGAGTGGCGGCTGGTTAGAATTTTAACCACCCTTCAGCCTTAGCTCTTGGTCTATTAGGCACACATGGTGAAAAGTTATGGAAAACCACCCAAGGTACTTATTAGTTTTTCGTCTAATTGGGATTTGTAACTCAGCTTTTGATCGAAGTAAAGGATCGTAACGAGTTATTACTGTATTTACAACTTTTTGGCCGAGAGGGAAATGGAAAAAAAGAGATCATTTAAAATGGTGAGTCATTCATTGTTCATTGATGTATGTTAATTTTCCCAAAGCCCCACCAAGCAAAGTAAAAATAATGAATAGTTATTGGAAAAAAGTAAGATTATTAAATCGCAAGTTTTTGATGGAAATTAGGACATACTTCTATAGTAGAGTTTTTATTTGTTTTTTTATTATAATTAAGAATAAACTGTTATTTAGTAGAAATTATGCCATTGACCATAATTGTTTTAAGTTTACCAAATTGTATTCATTTCTAAATTATTGTGAAGCTAATTTTTATGTTTATAATTTATTCACGTATTGAATAAAAAGTAGTTTCTCACAGTAACAACATGCTGTTGGCATCATAAAAAATATTGTAGTAGAACGTAATTAATCTTTCATTTTATTGGACACATGCAAGTATTATTGTACTTAATGGTGCTTAATTCAAATCAATATGATTAATTGCTGAGCAACGCAATTTAAAAGACAGTGCAACTGTAAAGGCAGAAGCTTAGAGCACCTCATAAACTTTAATCATGTTGAATCAAAAAACAGTCACAAATTAATTTAAATACTTTTCATTGTGTGGTTGTTTTTCTTAGCTAAGGTGATCTAATGCACAAACATTTATAATTTATAAATAGGACCATATTCATATAGCTTCAAAATTTCCAAATTTTTGCATTCTTTATTGCAGTTCTGGTTTTATTTTTAATCCTTTCAACTAGGAAAGTGGAACTGATATACCTGTTGTAGAAAAGACACTCAATCATGCACTTTTGTCTGGTTGCTATAATTCGAAAGTGGAGAGCCTTGGTGTGTTGACACATAATGTAAAACGTTTTCAGTTCATAAATTTGCTTCTATTTTACACAGTTCGTAATAAGACAATTCTGATGAAGAACATTTTTGTTAGGAATCTACGCAGTTTTGGTCAAATGATAAGCCTTACAAAAGTTAAAAAAAATATAATGATTCTGATAAGTACCATGCATTCGATCCTTACGCCATGAAATAGTTGTAGGCCCTGAAAAAGGGTCGTTGGTCGTTGATTAGCACTTCCTCATGTTACAGTACATAAACAGAGTTATTTGTAAAAGCCTTAAAGTTCAAAGCTGATGAAAAATATGTAATTAAAAATTTTTTTTCCATTACAACTTTACCACCAGAGCAACAAAGTCCCAAAACCTTATCTCTTTATTTTTTATTTCCATAATCAATACAATTACATAATGTTCCACCTATTTGAATAGCTGGTAGATATAAGTAATTAATATCAAGGTTATAATGGAAATCTGATCTGTCACTTATTGGATTATTTATTCCTCGATTTTAATTCTACTGTTACAATCTTGATAAGTGTTCTGCGTCAGTATCTTGATACCTTTAATTGCATACATTTGAAACATTTAAAGTATTTCTTCCAATTCCACGTTCTTGCTTTTCTAGGCATTGTCAAAAACTTGTTAAAAAGGCTGTTTTTTCCAACTTTGTTAAGGTGTAATAATTATATTGGTTACCAAGATAGTTGAACATTAGATGTCCCTAAGTTGAACTCCTTCTATTGTTTGTGATTGCAGTTGGTGTAGTAGATACGGGGGATGTAAATAAAGATTATATATAACAGGTAAGATTTCCAAAATATAATGATATGAATATTGCATTTAAAATTCATACAGGGTACAATGTAAAATTATTGCATAATAAATATGTAAATAAATAATATTCGCTATGCGCTTTTACGGTGCTGCCCTCATTTTCATTAATGAGGGATGTATGGTGAAAACTTAGCTCAGAGGGCGCCAGGGCCACTTGGTCCTAATTTATGGATGTATTAGTGTATCCGTGTAAGTGTCGGTTGTTGTGTGCAGGGCGACACTGTCGATGAACTTGACGACTCATGTTATCAACCCATTTTGAAGTCTAAGCAAGAAACTTATTACATTGGCCAGGAATGTCGAAACAAATTGACAAAAAGATAGTAAATTGTGAAAACCTTATTAAAGAATTATTTATAAAGAGCCAATAAATGAGGAAGACGTACCTAGTAAATTTTGGAAGATATTAGCCACTGGTATTTTACATTTAAATAACAAAGATTACATTTTAGTTGTTGATACGTTCGTTAAATTTGTAGAAATAGAACAGTTAAAAAGCTTGACAGCTAAGAACGCAGTTCATGATTTAAAAGAAACATTTGCTAGACATGGTATACCTAAAGTGTTATATAATATTTCCTTATAATAATTCAAAAACTCTTTTGTAATACCTTTTTATTCGTATGTGCAATAACAAGTGCTAATGATTTACAAATAGAAAGGTATGTATGTTCAATTGAAAGTGTCTGCGATCATACTGAGCCAAATTGTGGGTCGAGTTATAGACGATTTTACAGTGGAAAGTAATTTTTATTTCTAATTGATTTGTTGATAACTTTAATGTTTCCGTAATACTGGAGTGTAATGAAGTTTAAATACTTATTCTACATTGTTGACAGTTCTTCTGAGCTGTGGCTGGCCTTAATATTCGTTATGTTGTTAAGCTATAGAGCCTCTTAACATCACCTATTTGCCCCTGGTTAGCTGCTAACTCTGGCCGCTAATGTTGGGTTCATTAATTGTATGTGTTACTGGTAAAACCCGAATTCAGGCATTTCTTGTAAATGCCTAGGCAAAATCCGAGATGCCAAAAATTTTAGGCAGTACCCGAATTGCCTAAAATAGTTTTAGGCAATTCAGATATTACCTGAAATCGATCAGGCAAAAGTAAAAATCATATCTTTACAGATTGTTCATCTTTTTTATTGAGATTTAATTCTACTTACAACAGTATATTCCTAAACCACTATAATTTTTAAACTCAGTTAAATAAATATATTACGATTTTGAATAGGACTTACTCGCTTTACTTACGTAGCTTTTGCTATGTACTACACCCATTGAGCTGAAACCAGCCCCACGCCGGAGTAGCCTTACCGGGACAAATCGGATCTAAGTGGGCCCTAGGGCTTAAAAATATTTTTTTTTGTCTGAATCTATTAGAAAACAATAAAATATGGTTGCAATTCTGCCAAATGCAATCCCTACAAGTTTTTTGAGCCGTACAATGTCGCCAGGCATAGAAAATAAAGAGTTTTCAGCAGATATGCACATACGCTTATACATAAAAAGTGTGGTTATGTATAGTGGTAAGTAGATATAAAATTTCCTGCCCTGCTGTTTTTCATCAGACATTTTGATTAAAATACATTATTTTTATCAAAATTGACAATGCGTATTATTCTTAGTGGGTTATTCGATCTTGATTTTGTGTTATAAGATCCTCGTGTTGGAACTTGGTTGTTTTTGCCGTTCGCGCATTGTTGGATATCGATGAAAAATATTCGCTAAAAATAATTAAATTCTATAATTCACAACGTCATTATACATTTTGAGCAGTGAGTATGCATCGAATAGCATACAAAAGCTATTTATTACTTTCCTATTCGAAGGTTAGAGTAGAGTAGGAAAATTATCAAACTCACTACTACACGCCTACGTCTATCACGTATACACAATGACATATTTGACACGTGCAGAGCAGACAAAGGTAGTGTTTCAGCATTTTGATTCTCTTTGAATTAATGATTACTGGCAAAGTCTCAACATTACCCTAACTGTTAAGTACATGCAGATTTCTCTTATACGATTGTGAAAGCATTTTTTATTAATTTAACTCCGATTTTTCAAGGTAGTGTATAAAAATAAGTTCTGATTCAATGTGGTGCAGCAGCGTACCTTTAGATCGAACGTTTTCACCACCATAGACGCTGGCGTAGATTTCTTCATCCCCTCCAAATCTGGAAAATCATTTGCCTTGTTATTTTTCTTTTGATGGTTTCATTGAAATGCATTCACTGTATCATAATAAACAATGCATATCAATTTTAGCCAGGCCTTCGTTTCAGGTTTTGTGTTATGCGAGCATGAAGTCGGAACTTGGATGTTTCCGGAGTATCGGTGGGGTAAGAAATCGATAAAAAATCACCCGGCACGTCGTTTTTCTTTACCTTTTTTCAATAAAGTACATTGTTCATATGACACTTAACAATGCACATCGCTTAAAGCTAGGCCCTTGTTCAAGATCTTGTGTTTTAGGAGCCAGAAGTTGGAACTTGGATGTTTTCGCAGCATGCGTATAGTAAAAAATCAATGGAAATTCACTAACATCATCGTTGTTCTATAGATATTTAAGTAAAATACATTGTTTATGTAATAAAAAACAATGCTTATTATTTTTAAAAAGGTCTTCATTTCAGATTTTAGGGGTTATAAAGAGCGCCAAGTCGGAATTTCAGTATTTTCGTGGAATGCGTATAGGGGTTAATTGATAAAAAATGACCTGCCTCATTGTTTTTCTTTATACGTTTTAATTAAAATACATTATTTACGTCAAAGTAAACAACGCATGTCGTTTTTAGCGTAGCATTTATTCGGTTTCGTGTTATAAGAGCCTCAAGTCAGAATTTAGGTATTTTTGCGATATACGTTTAGTGGTAAATAAATGGAAAATTACTTTCCCCCATTGTTTTTCTTCACCTAGTTTCATCTAAGTGCATTATTTATACACTTCTTAACAATGTACATCGCTTAAAGCAAGGCCTGCTTTCTAAATTTTGTGACATGAGCCAGGATTTAGAGTCGTGTGTTTTAATAGAATCCGTATAGTAAAAAATCGATGGAAAATTATTAGCTTCGTCGTTTTTTTTCAGCCATTTTATCTTAAATTAAATGTTTATTAATAAAAAACAATGCATGATATTTTCAGAGGGGCTTTCATCTAGTTTTTGAGTTATCAGAGCCTCATGTTAGAACTTAGGTGTTTTCGTAGTATGCGTATGGTAGAAAATCGATGATTAATCAAGTAAGTCACTCGCCCCGCCGTTTTTTTCAGATACTTTGAATAAAACATGTTATTTACATAATAATAAATTACTTCAATTAATTAATTAATAATGCATATTACTTTCNTAGTGGGAAAAA